GCACAGTCACTTGAGTGACCATCAGCGAGCGGCTCAGGCACACGTGAAATGCTTACCAAGCTGAGCAGAACGAGCCCTGTGGAGTACCGGGTGAGTATGCCTAACAAGCACAGCAATTTCTGTTCACTAGTCACACTGATACGCGTAAAGCTGGTTTAAGAATTGCACTGAGGATTAGCTAGATGATTCACAGGAAAATCCAAACATAAGGGCCCGATTTACATTCAAAGTATGTGGCTGAGAGAGTTGGGAAAAGGGAACACTCCATCTCTTGCTCAGAATGGACCCTAATTGCCTGTTTCTTCTAGTTACAGTGATCAATCTCCAAGCATGTCTATATTAAGTAAACCATATGTGTATATACATGTATCTACACTTCTTTTAAAACACCAAGTTTCAGATTCCCCTGTATGAAACTCAAAATGCCAAGATCTGCTCACGGGAGATTCACCCAGACTCCCAAAGGTCCCTTCCTGTTTTCTTGTTGTGTAGCAAAGAGCAGTATTTGCCCCCACTGCCTATAAAACACAGGGCAATTAAAGGCATACTGTAAAATATTATTACAGTAATGACACACATCTGTTCCCAGAACACTGCTTGTTATTTGTGATTAATCTAGTTCACCGAAGAAAGTTGTGAGGGCAGAGGATATATCCTTCCGTTTGTTCTTTTCCTCTGTACAGTGAATATTTCTGGGAGCTGATAATAATATCTACTGACAGAAAAGACTAAAGAAACAGAAACATTTTTCTATCTGGTAAGTAAACATACTATACAGGTAATAATTGCATGAGATGCTCTTGTGATTTTTACGAAAGAGACTGCATTTCATGTATTCTGACATCTCTCATTAATGATTTTTGCCCCACATAGGATGCTCTGCTGAGAAAGGACTGGTTTCTATGTACTTCATTTCTCACAACCTGAGCTCTCTTGCATTATCCGTCATTTACAGGGATTCATTATCAAAGTACTGCACAAGGGTTTAAGCTGTAAAACACCAAGCGATTTGTCTGGACTTTGGAAGAGATTTTATGACGTTGGGGATTTGCAGCAACACTCTAAAGAAAAGTATTTTTTAAATGCGTCACTTTCTGGATGCTTTGAATCTAGATGAAGCTTTGCTTACCAAGGGCAGTTCGTTTCTCCGGTCATTCTTAGACTCTGTTTGCTCTGAGCTGTAGTGTCTCCCACACATTCATTGGAAGCTGTATGGTCTCCAAACATTTATTAGCAAGGAACTCTCCATGATGCAACTTGGGGAAATGTAATTTTTATTTTTTTTTTTTATCCCTCCTTTTCTATCTCTGTGCTACAAACAGAAAGCCTCTGCTTCCTCTACACCCGCTCTCCTTGCCAGAAGCCTCACTGCAACTTCCTGTCAGTTTTACAGACTCCGCTGTGGACTTCCTCTGAGCAAAAGTTTTATCTGAACGTACCACGTTAACTATTTGCTTACTAAGTGTTTCCTAGAAGCATAAATGCTCGTTTATTTTTAACCTCTGCCAGCTACACCCTTTGTAACTGGAAAATATTAGTGACACTCAGGAAAAAAAAAGTGAGTTGCATTATTTAGGACTAAAATAAGAGAAAGGCTAAGAAATACCATAATTACTTGCAGGCAATGGGCATCCTGCTTTGTACCAGCAGGGCTAATGATAGGCTGTTCACATCCAGAGGCGCAATAATCCACATAAAACCAGTAGTATGTTGCATTTCTAAAACACCCTACAACAATGGATAGAAATGTAAGAAACACTGCCCCGGCATTTACATTTCCAGCTCTTGATGGTCTAAATTAACTTAAAGCTACCGTAACATGCTCTCGATCCAACTTTGAGCTGTAGCTAACGCATGGCTCCTACTGGGGGCTTAACGAGAACTTGGGGAAAGGGGTACGGTGTTATCCCAGTGGATGCACTGCTATGGGGCACAAGGCGTCCCCGGGAACGTCTGACAGGCCTGGAGATGGGGTACAGACCAGGGGCCTGGCCACTGCAAAGGCAACCCTGGGCTCCAGGCTCCAGCTTTCACCCATTTCTCTGGTCCCTGGCCGCTGAAGGAGCACATTTTGCTCCTGCTCCATCCAGTATAAATCTCCCCAGCGCAAAGCTGGGGCGTGTGGACGACGACGACAGCTCACGCGTCCTGCCCGCCCGCCCCCGGGCCCGGGGCAGGCCTCCCTCCCTCACTGCCACCGCAGGCGGTGGCGGCAGGCCGGGGAAGGCCGCAGAGCCCC